CCCCAAAACCCCAAAACCCCAAAACCCCAAAACCCCAAAACCCCAAAACCCCAATCAATATCTTATTGGTTGAAGTACAGGTTCGCAACTATAACCCAAATTTTACAAATTTGGGATATAAACTCAACTATGTCTGAGCTTACGAATAATCCCAAAGCATGATTATGCTTGGAGTTTAGGTTATGAAGCCAGCTTGAAAATAAATCCCTCAGAGCCATACAGCTCAAATAGACATATTTGAGAATTAACTTTGGGTAAAAATAAGATCTTAAGGCTCATAAAAATGAGAAAACTTGTTCTGACGAGATGATGAGTGGCGAGAGGACATTTGCTTCGTAGTTCCGAGCTTATGGGTGATACGTGATCTCCCACTAGATTTACGAGAGGAATTAGGGTAATTTGAGCTGAAGAGGAGAATTAGAAATTGACATTTTTCACAGAAATGTAATCTAAAGTTGCGTATTCTTACAGTTTTCTTCGGATATTATTCGTAAATTCTGATTGGTTATTTTTACCTCTTCGAGCAAACTCTCTACGTCTTCTAAATGAATTAGATAATTTTTCTTACGCTGATTGCTTTCTTTTCCGCTCCTTTCTTACTGCTTTCTGAACATTAAACGACTGATCTTTCTACAGCTTTAAGTAAGTTAAATCTTACAAAAGGAATTTGACTTTGTTGCATATCCTTCACATATCCCTCGTCAACATTACCCCCTGACTTTTTGAATGGGATAACCTTATTTTTATCCTTATCTGTTTTGCATCACCAGCTCTTGACAAAGATAATAAAAGTGATAATATAGTTGAAGACTCATAGGAAAATTACTAATGAAAACCCAATCATTCCTAATAAATGAGGTCTTCCACTCGTCACCAGCTCTGTTGACTCAGAGGTAAAAGTAATGAAGATCAGAGATATTCCCATTAGTATAAACTCAAATATGATATCTTGAAAGTTGAGGATCGCGCTTTTGTACGGCCGCACTATTATTTTGAATATTATCAATATCCCACAGATAGCAATAAAAATGGAGATTTGTAAAAGTCCATGGTTCCAACCGAATGCGGTGAGGATGACCAGAGCTAATCGTCTATATAATAGTTAGAGATTTGTTTCAGGAACTCAGTCTCTTCTTCTTCAAACAAGTAAGAGAGGAGATCTTTTCAAATAAAATGTTCGCAACAATCTACAAAGCTTCAGTTATAAAATTATGCACTTCCTCAGAAAACAAAAGGAAAATATTATTTGGAGATCTTATAAAAATTCATCTGTGGTAATCGACCAAGATTAACAAAAATGAATTTTTGACTAAAAGACACTTACCTGCATAGAAACAGAAAGCTTTCATGCATACAAATTTTCTTATTGTCTTTGAAATCTTCCATTAGTACTTTAAATCTAAACTTTCGAATTGATTTAGCAGTGTATTTGCGAGGAAATGTTCAATAATAGAATGGAAGAGTTATTATTACGAGAGTTATGATGGAACACCATAAGAAAGCAACAGAGTTGCCATAGTAATCTAGCCAGCTCTCCCATCGAATATTCATAATGTGGCATATAGATATGAATCAGAGGTCCAAGAACAACTCAGCAAGTATCTTGTAGGCTGAGTTGAACAATACTTCCGACTTTATTTCATGAAGTCTGCTTTGAAGCTTGACAATCACTTTTCTTCATCAATTCAGTGTCTTTGTTTTAGATCTGTGAAAATTTATTTGCAACACTTACTCTGAAGGAGGCTTTCCCATGCAAAATGAAAGCATTGCAACTATCATATAATAGGCAACCATGAGAACAATTCATGCAAAGATGCTGGCTCCGTTCATTAGAATGTGAGTGCTATCAATGCCTTGATTCTCGAACCTGTGATCCCATGAAGTCCTATTCTCTAGTTCAGATGAGTTAAAGTGAAGCTTGTACAGAGATGCCAGATATTCGTTCTCCATGTTTGCAACATTGACAAAAGAGAGCATCGACATGGCTGACTTCGGAAAGTAAAGACTTAATGTCCCCATGTAATTGATAAGTTGCATTGAGTTGATCATTGCCCACATCGAAGATAAAGCAGATCCAAGCACAGTTGAAATTACCAACTGGACTGTCACTCCAATAGTGACACTAGTTTGCAGCGATGTTCCAATTGTTTCTGTAGACGAATCTACTTGGATTTGTATCTTTCATTGAGATGGAGTTCCTTCACAAACCCAGTCTGGCTCAATCTGACATGTCTCTGAACACCCATCATTATTCTCCGTATTTTCATCATCTCAAGCTTCAGTATCAATGATGAGCCCATCACCTCATACAGGGGATCATGTTGATGGCTCTCTGGTTCAAGCCCATCCAATCTCAACTTTACAGTTTTGGTCACAGCCATCACCATCGCTGAGGTTGGAGTCATCTCACTCCTCGCTCGAATCAAGTCTTCCATTACTGCAGATAAGATTTCATTGGCTAGGAGTACCAAATCACTCCCAGTCTGTTTCTACTTGTCATGTAGAGCTGCATCCATCTCCATGAGTTAACCCTGAGTCGTCTCATGTCTCTCCAGGGTCAATTCTTCCGTTGCCTCAAATAAGATTACAAGAACTTGGAGCTCCAAATCATTCATAGCTTGGCTCTACTTGTCAACTCGAATCTCATCCATCTCCATTCACCAAGCCTCCATCATCTCATGTTTCGCCTGGATCTAATCTTCCGTTGCTTCATAAGAGGTTTCAGCTGCTTGGGAAGTTACCATCTCACTCCCAATCAGTCTCAATGGTTCAAGTGGGACTTCAACCATCACCAGAAATCAGATTTCCATCATCTCATTGCTCTGGAGATTCAAAAACATTATTCCCACAATTAAGAGTTCAAGTTGTTGGAAGCGATGACGTGCATGTATATCTATAGTTCACAAGTAAAATCTACCCTGGCTCTAGTGTGCTAGTGGAAGAGCATCCATCATTGTCAGCTGAATTTCCATCATCTCATTGCTCGCTACCTACGAGAATTCCATCCCCACATCTATTTAATAGTTTGATTACGTCATTGCTCAAAATACTTACATTGACTGTCAATTCTAAATTTGGTTAAAAAGGATTAAGAAAGAAGCTTACTGAGGGGTCCCCTGTACAAGTCCAGCCGGATTCTATCTGTCAGCTACTATTTCATCCATCTCCATTACTTGTGTTGCCGTCATCTCATTGTTCGCTTCCTCATATATCTCCACTACCACAGATAGTGATCCCAAGAAAGCATAATTCTCGATGATGTGTTTTCTATTTCGAAATTACATAGTTTGGTTACTTCACTTTGCTTCAAATAATTGGTTCAATATCCTAATCAGAGGAGGAAGACCAGAACTATATTTAGTTAATTTAGGCAACGAGATCACAAGTGAGTTTGTGTTCACCTTCTTAAGATCCTTAAAACTAAGGTAAAAATTGCTGAAAAGTATTGAAGTTGGCTAAAAATTTCGAATCAACTTTAGAATAAAAAGAGGGCATTCACTCTTGACTTAAAAGATTTTCATCAGCTAGAATTTTGAAACTTTATGAAAAAATAAGCTTCTTAACATAATAAATCTCCATTTTATTTTTAGCTTCAGAAATTAAATAAAATTTTCTTAAAATCAGGTTTATTAAATTGACAAATTTGGGTGATATCCATGAGACCATCCTGGATCTTTCCAGAATTTTAGCTAGTGAACCTTCTGAAACCAAGAATAGGGATTATGCGAGTCTTCTTGATAAAATAAAGATTCTGCACATTTGAGTATTGGAGTGGATACAATTTAGCGAGTTAATCATGTGACGATTTATTCATAAAATTACGTAAAGAATCGATATTATTAATGATTGTATTAATTTGTCTCTGAAGTCAAAGATTCTTAACAGCGAAGTAATCTAAATTTTATATATAATGAACAGAATTATTCATAATTAAAACTTCCTAATCTCTCAAAAATTTCATATAAATCATAACTCTGAGCATAACTTGAATTTAAAAAATATTATCAGCCAATATGTGACATTGCAGTATTGTGTTAATTCAAATTATTTATACGGCAGTCATGAAGGTCGCTATCATCATAGAACTGAAGTTTTCTTGCTAACTTTTACTCTAAAAGTGACCTCCCAGCACAATAATTATTAATAAGTAATGATGACGCAATTTCTTAAGAAATTTACCTCAAAGTCTATGCATTTTGTTTCTCATCTGTATCCAAAATTAAAAAATCTATGTAAAGGAAAGAACCACTAAATCTGCAAATGAAGTAAACTTTATTTAAAGAATAGTTGCTCCTGAAGCTTACTTCCTGAATTAAATTTTCAACACGAAATAACCAACATGGGGTTTTGGGGTTTTGGGGTTTTGGGGTTTTGGGGTTTTGGGGTTTTGGGG